TGATTAGGATATGCCAGTCGATTGTAAACTCTCGGTGTGGATCTTGAGAGGCTGTCTTTTCCCTAAAGAATGGGAGCCTTTGTTACTGCAACCCTCTTTCCTGCAGGGCCCTCAGCACTCTCTGACGTTGCTCTTCCCCCCACCCCCTTGCCCCCTGTGTCCCCCCTCCCTACCTCCCTGCCTCTCTCCCTCTAGCTTATGCTTCCCCACCTGCGGTACACCATGGAAATTAACCTCCGGGCCAGGACCGGGCTGGTCTCTGACTTAGGAGTTTTTGATCAGGTATGGTGAGAGAAATGGTAATGCAGGGGTTCCTTCTCCCTCCTGCCCACCCAGTCACTGACCTTGCACATCCTGGCTCCTCAGGTGGTGGGCACAGGTGGAGGGGGCCACGTGCAGCTGCTCCAGAGAGCTGGATCCTTCCTAACCTACCGATCATTTTGTCCCCCTGATGACCTGGCTGACCGGGGGCTCCTGGGAGTCGACTCTTGCTACTATGCCCAAGACGCACTGCGGCTCTGGGACATCACATCTCGGTGAGGCTGGTGGGGTTGGGGTGGAGAAGGCTCGGAGAACAGAGGGTCTGTGTCTTGGGCCAGGAAGCACTCACCAGGCTACATGGGCAAGGACCAGAGGGCCTGGTCTCTCCGCCAGCTTCAGCTCCCTCTCCCTGGTCCCTCGGCTGGCAGGTACGTGGAGGGCATCGTGAGTCTCCACTATAAGACAGATGTGGCTGTGAAAGAGGACCTTGAGCTGCAGACCTGGTGTCGAGAGATCACTGAAATTGGGCTGCGAGGGGCCCAGGACCGAGGTGAGATGAGCTCTTGACCAGATGCTGGGACCCTGCTCCCAGCACCTCCTCCAGAATTCTCTCTACTTCTAGAGAAGCTTACAGAAGCATTTCTACTCTCCACAAAAGCTTCCAAAGGTTTTCTTAGAATCTTCACCCTCTCACCTGACAATCTGTCTCCATCCCATGTACCCAGAATACCCCCCTTTAAGCCCCAGTTTAACAACGGACTCTCCGGGGGGGAAAAATGCTTGAATTTGTAGCATTCAAATATTTCCAGGGTGTAAATATTCTCATCATGGTTCATTTTAAACTACCAGTGTGAAATCCACCAGCATGCTGAACTCGGGCACATTGAACAAAGACTGCTCTCTTGAGTCAGGAGAGCCAGCCTCAACTCACCATTGGAAGTTTGGGTGGCTGTTTCCCAGAGCCCTCCCCCATGTCCCTTACCCTACTCCAGTGGTTCTCAACCTGTGGGTCGTGACCTCTTTGGGGGTTGAACAACCCTTTCACCAGGGTTGCCCAATTCATAATACTAGAAAAATTAGTTATGAAGTAGCAACAAAAGTAATTTTATGGTTGGGGGTCACCACAATAGGAGGAATTGTATTAAAGTGTCTCAGCATTAGGAAGGTTGAGACACTGCCCTACTATCTTCTGTCAGATCCCACAATAGTTACTGAGAACTTTTGACCCTTCTACACGCCCTCCTGTTTCCCCCTCTGTCTTCTATTTCTGAGTTCTGTTTATATTCGTAGTCTCCCAGCTTTCACTTCACCCGATCCTGGCCTCTTGCAGGGTTTCCCACATCCTTACAGACTCGGGAGCAGGCTTGCCACTTCATCACCATGTGTATCTTCACCTGCACTGGCCAGCATTCTTCCGTT